ATTCACAGAAGCTCTGGTCTTCACAGAGGGGCTCTAGATCAGGGAACTTAGAGTCCAAGAACTCTGGTCCTCACAGAGCCTTGCAGAGGCTCTGGTTACCACAAAAGCTCTGTAGTCTTTGAAAGCGGCTCTGGTCTCCGTGACTCTTTAGCACAGAGGCTAGTCTTCTAGACTTTAGACGTTTTGGCGCAGATACTTCTTCAATTCGTCTTCTAGTTCTGGATTGTTTCATGAAACTTTTTCAAGTTAATTATTAGCTTAAAAAATAAAGCTAACAAAGGGTTTGAGAGTTCTTTAGTTATTGCTTGCAAATGATTTTGAGGCAGAGGTTCGACAAAAGTATTTGAAACCGTAAGGCAAAAATGAGAAGAGAAGTCTCATATTTATAGGTAGGAGGATAGAGAAATGGAAAGAGGAGATAGGAAAATAGACTTAAAAGTTATGCAATGATGAAGAAAGTAGCACATTCTCATCCACGATTGGATGAAATTTTGAGGGGTCGCGTGTGTCAGAACGGTATGCGCGTCTAGAAAAAAATCATATCGTTTAAATAAAAAATGAGTTCATAAAACATTTCATTTTCCATTTCCTTTTAAACAAAAAAGTTTAAGATATTCAAAAACAATATATTTAAGAATATGAGAAGTTTTTGAAAAGGTTTAGTGATAAGAAGAATTACTGAAGAAAAGTAAATCTTTTAAAATATTGATAACTGAAAAAAAAAAGCTTCAATGATGGTTTATTTTAAGATAAGAAAAATATATCTTAGAGAGATATATTTCCATAAATGGTTCAGTGATGAAAGAAACACTGAAACAATCTTTTAAAACATTTGAATCACTGAATAAGAAAATGTTCATCGATAATTTTTGTTTTAAGATAAGATAAATATATCTTAGAGAGATAATTTGCTTTAAAAAAGTTCAGCGATATAAGGAATCACTGAAACAATCTTTTAAAACATTTTGATCACAGAATATGAAAAGATTCATTGATAGTTTTAAGTTTTAAACAGAGAGAGAATAAGTATA